CACAGGTATAGGGATTAAGTAACACTAGCTGTAATTAGATTAAATACATCGTGAAGGAAGATTTTGGAAATTAAGGAAGACTTTGAAATTATATGAATTTGAAAGCAATGTTGAAACAGAAAAATGCCAATGTGGTGATGTAGAAAAATATTTGTTTCCTAATCTAAAAATCAGTGCTTATTTTGTTGTATGATTTGCAAAAGGAATATTTTTTAATGTTATGTTAAAGAATAGATTTATCCATGTAAACTAGGCACAGCACATAATTTTCAATGGATATAGAAACCATAATATATAGTATAACCCCAAAGTTTTCATACTGAATAAAAAAATTATGACTCAGGTACTCGAGTGGAGATTTCCAGGTGTTTGGAGGCCAAAGGGACAGCGACCAGATGACAGCAGAGAGACAGCTCCTCCTGCGTGACTCCCAGCAGCTCCATTCCTTGTGGTCGCAGATGGCTGGTGGTGTTGGGGGTCTTCCATTGGCCTCTCACAGACACCGGCTAAAGTCTTTCCACAACTGTTTTGTCGGTCGTGATCTCATTGAATGGCTTTTGGCAAATGACAAAGCTTCCAGCAGGTATTTGAAGGAGTGGTTATCTTTAGCCCAGATTCTTAGAAAGAGGCTGATTTATCATTAGGCTTAAGCATTTGTATTGATTATGGTGCTTATTAGTGCAAGAGTGACTAAGAATCTTTGCCTGTATGATATTCCTGAACAGCATATATTATCTTCTTGAATACAATATTCAGGATGTACTGGGTATAAGAATACTTGTTTCTCTTACAGGGCATCAGCAGTTGCCATTGGCCAGGCATTACTAGAAGCAGGATATGTAGTGTGCATTTCGCAACTGGAACAGGTCTTTGTGGATGACTACGTGCTGTACCGTCCAATGAGACCCAGTACAGGTGGGAGCGAACAGACAACTCAGGAGGGCCTGAATCGTGCACAGGATGGAGGCCAGGAACCTTTGTGGGTAAAACAAATTACTTCGATGGCAGAGAGTATTGGTGAGTCTTGCTATTTGGCTGATCAGTTTGGTTTATTGATTCAGTCCTTTAATGTTCACCAGCTTGAAAATATATGAGCTTCAAATTGTTCTTGAAATTGGAAGGTGGGACAATATAAATACTTACATTGTTACATGGTATTATGTTTGCTTCAGCCATCTTTTATAGCAGATATAATATCATGATTTTCTTTAAGACTGCATAATATTTAAAAACCCTTACACTAAATTGAATATTGTAATATTATGCAGAAGGAGAAGTAGATTCGAATGGCAGTAGCAAAGTCCACAAGGAAGAGCCAGCACACACTGTTGACACACCTACCTCCATCACCTCTTCTACCTCCAACTATTGCCTGGACCTCAATGTAAAAGATAGTGTTGTGTCCATGAGGAAGCCCCCACATGTCTCAAGGTAATATTTTCAAAAGGATTTTGTTACCAACAATGTTTAGACTGGTAGTTTTCAACTTGGGCATTAACCTTCCCTGGGGGGCATTGGTTTGAAGTGATTAGGGAGGTATTTTGGAGATTCCACAGATATCCATGCTTCTTGGTTCAAGTTATGAAGCAGAGTAATGTTTATCATGGATGACAGAAAATCTGAATTACTTAATGTACAAAGATCTAACTTAAACAATATATGATACTGCGTGTTTATGTTATCATTTACACATGCTTATTTTTTCCTGTTAGGCATGGCAGTCCTGAGAGTGACCAGGTGGATGCACGAAGTCCTGGAATGACATCTACATCTGGGCAAGTTCCATACTCAACAACAGTATCTGCCGTTCTCAGTGCCAATGCCCAGCTTCCTTTCACAGGAGATGCCATGAACTCAACAGCTGTTATGTCTGATGAGGTGTTACAGGTATGCTTGCATGGTCTTCCATTTTGACCCTGGTTTGATCAGAAGGGAATTACTACTAATGCCCTTTTCTTGTTCTGGTTGATGGCTAGTAAGCAGCTATGAATACAAAATTCTATGTGAATGATATAATATTCAGGAAAATGAATTTGAAGGCCATCTCTTAGCTTTAACTACAAAATGCAGAAATGCAAGAAATATATATAAAATTGTTAGTTATATGACAGCATACTATTGAAGTAAATCGGTGCATTTCTCTCCTTTTCTGCAATCTGCTCTTTTACTTTTGGCAGGCACTAAGGGGACATGATAGTAGTCAGCCCCATGCAAGGTCATCTGGCTGGACGCAGGAGGAGAAACTCACACAGAATGATGAAGAATGTCTAATGCAACAGAGATTAAAGTAAGAGTTCAGCAAGTAGAGTTTTTTCTACTTTTTAACTATGTTTTGCTTTGACCTTTGAGAAAGGAATGTCTTTTGTCTTAACTTCAGTAGCAAGAGGCTCAAGGAAGTTTTTGTTTTTGTTTTAAATTTTATTATTGTATTTGTGATGTTTAGGGAAAGGATTGCAAGGATTAGACAGTTATACCTGGAAATAAAGAAGATACAAAGATGATTAACTAAATATTTCATAAATCTTCATTCCTCATCTAGTGCAATGTGGAACGCCCATGAGACAGCCTTGCTCTGTCAGCTTCTTGACTCGGGTGGCTTGTCCCCCTCGTGGGCTGAGGTGATCCTCCCCATTGTTCATACTGTCACTGACATCATACGGCCTGATGTCAAGAATGATAGTGATGACATGGATATCAGGCAGTAAGTATTTGCTTTTTAGTTGTTGTTGTTTGAGAGATCTCCCTTTTTTTCTTTCTCAATCTTTCACTTTCTAAATAATGTAAACATATTTTTAAATAATTTGTCAATATAGAAAGAGTCCTGCATGTAAGTCATCTTATAGGAAGCCATAGGTCTGAAAGTTTGGCTCTGAAAATGTGCTAGTTTAGTACCATAATATTTTTTTGTTGCAGTAAAGTCAACTCAGATTTTTTATCACAGATGGATATCATATCATCTTTTGTATCTTTTTGTTTATATATATATATATATATATATATATATATATATATATATATGTATATATATAAATATATACATATATACATATATATATATATATTATATATATATATATATATATATATATATATATATATATATATATATATATATATATATATATATTTTTTTTTTTTTTTTTTTTATGATGATGATGATGATGAACAGTCTGGCCGATTAAGAATCGGCCAGAGATACAGTGCTCCTCCTCAGCTCCTTAGAGAAATCCAAATAGTTCAGATGCGTTTCCTGTTTTCATTTCCAGGTATGTCCAGTTCAAGAAAGTTCCAGGAGGCAGCAGGAGTGAGTGCCAGATCTTGAATGGGGCCGTCTGCACCAAGAATGTTGCTGACAGGTCCATGGCCACACGGCTCACTGACCCTCAGATTCTCCTTGTGGCTTCTACCATCGATTACCAGCGCGGCAATGACAATAAGCTCTTGGCACTGGACAACTTGCTACTACAGGTTTTTTATTTATTTTTTTTATTTTTTTTCTCTTTTTTCATTCTTTTTCTTTTTCTTTTTTCACTACTGTGTTTTCTTTTTGTTTTTTCTCTTTTTGTGTTCTTTTGTTATCATTTGTTTTCTTTTTTTTTTTTTTTTTTTTTTTTCATCATATTTTTAATCTGTCTATCTAAAAGCTAACCTAAAACCTTATAACAAAACACGCGAACATTAAGGGCTTATTGCTTGCATGAAAAAACAAAGTTAAGTAATTTACATATATACAGTATTGAACGACAGCCATCTGTTGATTTTGAGTTTGAACACTAATGGTATTAACACGAGTAATTTACATATATACAGTATTGAACGACAGCCATCTGTTGATCTTGAGTTTGACCGACTGTGTTTAACTGTTCTAGTGAGTCAATGGATGTAATAAAGACATTTCAGATCCTTTTCATTCGAAGTATGAAGGATCTCTGATGGAGGGAGGTTCTGGACCGAGGTACAAAGAAGCTATATTCACCAGGAGCGTCCCTAGGGGCATAGGTTCGTTGCATCGGAGTTCTTCAAAGAGCCAAGAGCCAGGGAGTGTCCAGAAATGTAGCTTTGTACAGAGTCGTGAGCTCCGCCACATCCCGACGGTGCTGAAGACTGTGAGTTGGGCCTGCTGCTCCTGCTCCATCACCACATCTGATGTTGATGAGTCATCTCACTCGTTTGTCGACCTTGTCGAGAAGGCTGAGGTATGAGGCAGGGCAGGACATCCATGTTAGCGGTGCATACTGGAAGGCTGGTCTCACTTGTGCTTTGTAGAGGATCTTGTATCTCTCAGGACTCATGGAAGAAGAGATGCGACGGAGAGCAGCCAGTTTTGTAGCCCCTTTCTGGGCCAAATCCTTCACATGTTCCTTGAAACTTATTTCCTCATCAAATTTTAAACCTAAAACCTGAATGATCGATTTTTCTGGTAATTTTTCACCATTTATAGAGTTTCAGATTGTTTTTTTCTCGAAGCTTAGATATGATCATCATCTGGGTCTTTTCAGGAGCAAATATGACTTGCCATTGTTTACCCCACATGGTAATGTCTGTGAGTCGTTGCTGGACACGATACTGAACTTCTGGCCTTTCATCCTGGTTAAAAGTGAAATGCAGAGTGCAGTTGTCAGCATATGCCCTTGCTTCTGGGATGAGGTTTTAAAGGTCATTGAAATAAATGTTCCAGAGCAATGGCCCCCAGGACACTTCCTTGCGGAACACCAACATCACACCCATCATCATTCAAGCATGCCATACATGATCAAATGCTCCCGCAATATCAAATGCTATGACTCAGGTGGAAAGGTGATCATCCAGTGCTTGGTTCCATGTTGAAGATAGTGTCAAGGGAAGATCAGCAGCTGAATGTCCCTTCCTGAATCCGAATTGCCTCTTGCTTAAGAGCCTTTGTTTAGTAAGGAAGCCCATCATTTGGTCAGCTATGAGTGCTTCCATGATTTTACCAATGTTAGAGAGGAGTGACACTGGTCGATAATTCCCCACGTCAC